AGAGTTTCTAAAGCATAGTTAGAAAAATAATCATTACTATAACAAGAATACTGAAATTTTGTTAACCTTTTTAAAGTAATTGAGGAAGTGGGGAAACTTCAGGGGCTCATTTCTCACTTTCTTTTAAGCTATTGTAACAAAACGTGCTATAATTGTACAACACATTTTCCACTGTTGGCCCACCAAATTACAGAACGTTACTCTCATCAGCTAAGTTTTGGGCCATTTTTGAATTTTGTACAAACATTTTTTTTTTAAAAAAGAAAGCTACAAGAGCAATCTACTTGAATTTTACATACAATGCACAAGGTAACTAGGGCATCAAAAAGCCGCAACAGCAATCTTCTTGAATGTCTATCTATATGACACACAATTAACCACATAACTTCAACATAGCACAGATTTTCTGCAGGTGGAGCTGGTCCACGTCCTGTAGCTTAATTTCCTTACTTTAGTCTTCTTTGTAGATTGAATAATTTTATTTATTATTATTATTAGACTCTAAGTGGCTGGCTGTTGCAGCCCTCATTGGAGCTTTCCGATGCTGAGCACTGCATTCTGGCAAATGTAGTTTAGGGCAGGACCATTTGAATTCTCTGCCACAGGGGGCCTTGCCTTCCCAAACTACATTTCCCAGAATGCTGTGTTCTGAGTCTCCCGCCCAACTCTGCTCATTCTGCCCCAGCTACCCTTCCTTATGGCGACTGGCAAAAAAGCAACCTTGGTCTTAATTTTGGCCAAAGCTGCTTAATGCTTATACTGAAATTTAAACTGACTTTGGGAGGCATCCGAACGTTACAAAATCTTAACGAAAATGATTAGTGAGTGTTTCAATTCTAAAATCCCCACCCTTTCCTGCACGTTTCTAATATCAATTCATATGCACAAATTTAATGAATTTGATATGTCCTCCAAGGAGTAATTATGTTTTTTTATCATTGGACTGGATGACCCCCAGGGCATATCACAACTTTGTAGTTTTATGAAACCACTCAGCCATAAACCATTCTTAAACCAAATGATTCAAGCTCACGTTATTTTGTGTCTTCCAACAATCCCATAGAAAGCACATGTTGTTCTATTAGCTGAGCTTTTGTTTACAGAGTCATTTGCATGAAATGTTGTTAATGCAAGAAAGTACTGCATCTTTTGCAATAAAATGTGCTGTTAAATAATATGATTCAAATGGTGTAATGTACATTACACCACAAAAGTTGGCCAAATGTTATAAAAATATTAAAGATTGCTGTTGGAAATGTGAGAGTCAAACAGGAACTTACTTTCACACGTGGTGGGGATGTAAAACGGATAAAACATATTGGAAAAGGATTCATGAAATTATACAAGAATTTTTAAAAATAAAATTTCAAATGAAACCTGAATATCATTTACTAGGCATGTTAGATATGAAAATAAACAAAAATGAAGATATTCTATTCAATTATATTATCACAGCAGCCAGAATTGTGTGTGCTAGAAAGTGGAAGACTAAAGAAATTCCAATGGTAGAAGAGTGGAAATTAAAGATATTGGACATAATGAATATGGATAGATTAACTTATTTTTTGAAAACATACCAAGGCAAACCCAAATGCCCCACGGATTGGACTTTATTAGATAATTTTTTGAATGTAAAAGGAAAAAACGCAAATACCAGATGACGGAGAGAACATCTACAATTAATACCAAAGAGTTTAATAACCTTGACAGGAAAAATTCAGAAGTTAACAATCAAGAACTTTTTATCTGTTTTATTTTATGTTTTCATTTTATTTTTTATTTTTTATTTTTACTTTTTTGTGATTTTTTTCTTTCCCCCTTTTTTCTCCTTCCATTTTTTCTCTCCCCCGCTTTACCTCTGTCTTTCCGTCCCAGCTTCCCATTTGTTTCTACCTTTATTTCCATTTTTCTTCTTCTTTAGTAATAGGGCTCTCCCTTTCTATTTTTCCCCTCCCTTGATAGTGCTTCTTCCCGCTCCCCAAAGTTCCATCCCCTTTTCCCCAAATTCATACACTGCAATTTCCCCTTTTTCCTAACTTTCAAAAATAAAAACTATTTACAAAAATATATATGATTGAAATGTATTTCCACCTGAATAGTCCTGAAAACATTGTTGAAAAAGAAATAATGTAATGAGCATGTATTAAAATGACATAGAATGATTTTCCTTGCACTAATTTAAAATGAAAACATTTATTCTTTTCCTAGTTTTAAAGATCTAATTCCTGTATCCCATGTTTTGAATTCAGTCTGTAAAGAGTTAAAAACTACTTTGGTAAGGTACAAAAGTGAGGATTCTTTGAATTTTCTATGATCTGAATTGAAACAGATGGAAATCTCACCCTCTTCCCCTGGTAATGACTTTTGGGCTGTACACATAAAATTTATAGCATTATAAAATTAAATGGCTCATGATGGAAAAGATAGACATGCCTACACAGACAAAACAAAATGTTATTTGGAGTGCACATCATGCAAGACTTATGAGTTGAGACACCAGAGTTTGTGTCTTTATTACTTATTTCTTCCAGCTCTCCTTTAGGGATCCCTGCCTATATACTTGAATTATCTCTTTTAAGTTGCCTGGAATCCCATGATGAAAGTTAAATAGAGTTTTTGTTATCAATGAGTGATAAACCCGAGCTAAGCTTCAGGTGCCATTGCTAGGCTGAAGACTAGCCCTACCATTAGGTAAAGTGAGACCACTTGAAGGCAGTAGCCTTCTGGAAATCCCCTTCTATGGAAGAACATGCTGTATATAGTTGTGTTTGCATTGGCTTCATGTATAAGTTGAGCAGTAGTTTTGGGGCCAAAATTATGCATTTTGCTATGTCGCATAAATGAGAGCCAGCTGGCTCTGGTTGCTGCCACACAGGGATTTGAAAAGGCCAGAAGTGATGCTGCAGTGGAAAGAGTAGAGGGGACCAGTGCTTCTTTTAGGTTCTCTCTGGAATAGACTGAGATCATGTCTGTGGTTCCTTTGCTCAGAAAATGGAATGCTTCCCCTTTTGATAATAGTTAAGATATGCTGATCCATGAATAAGTCAACCAAATATTTTTGGCTAGATTGTTTTGCTAAAATGTCGAGATTTATACATGAGACTATATTGTAGTTATGCTGCCCCACAGGATGCTCAACCTCCTCCAATGACACAACATCCTACATCTAAGGTACTCCCATTTCTTATCTCAACACAGTTGATGGAGCAGCTGTTCTTTGATGTTGATTGAGATTATTGTCATGTTTGGTCCTGAAAAGGGCCAATTTTTTGTTTGTTTAGTTGATTGTATGCTGCAAGTCACTTTTGGTGTGAGAGAATCAGCTGTCTATGAAGACTTTACCCAAGGGGCACCCAGATGTGTTATGATCCTGCAAGGAGGCTTCTCTCATATCTTCCAGGTCTTAAGATATACTGGGAGCATCTAGAATTTCAGGATCATTCAGAGCTAAAAGATATTATTTAATACTAGCCGTCCCCTGCCATGCGTTGCCATGGAAGACATGAAGTCCTGAGCCGCTCCTAATAGGGTAGCCTCGGCATGTACATTGAAGTCCCCCAGCACGAGGAGCCGTTGGGACTTCAATGCCAAGCTTGAGACCACCCCCGCTAGCAAAGGTAGGGAGACCGTAGTGCAGCGAGGTGGACGGTACACTAACAGAATCCCTATTCTGTTCCGTTCACCCAATCTCAGATGGACACATTCAAAATTGGTTGACTGCGGGATGGGGACCCTGGTTTTAGAAAGTGTTGGTTTTTAATATATGTAATTTCTTTATGTTTATGGGTAAACAGTATTTCTTGTTGTTTCTTTGTCAGTGTTGATGCGGAGATTGTCTGGTTTGCCTTTTCTGAAACATGCAACATATCATTGTCCTTCTTTAGGGGTCCTTTTCAAATCTATGACACTATATTTGTGCGTGTGTGAATCATATATATCTATCTATATCTATGGCTGGATGGATGTTTGTCAGGAGGGCTTTGATTATGTTTTCTTGCCCTAGTGAAGGGAGCTGGACTGGATGGCCTTAAGTGTTTTCTGTTGGTTAAAGGGGTTCTGTGTGGGAAGTTTGACCCAATTCTGTCATTCGTGGGGTTCAGCATGCTCTTTGATTATAGGTGAACTATAAATCCCAAATGTCAAGGTCTATTTCCCCCAAGCTCCATCTGTGTTCCTACTAGGGCATATGGAATATTCGTGCCTTCTCAGTGGTGGCCCCCCGGCTGTGGAACACTCTCCCTATAGACATCAGGCAGGCGCCCTCCCTTATGTCCTTCCGAAAAAGCCTTAAGACATGGCTGTTCGAGAGGGCATTTAATTAAGTGCTATAATAATGTGGTAAAGACTGGAGTGGAACAAGGAATACGAGATTGGTTACGATTCTACTATGAGACGAAGCGGATTAGTTAGTGTAACTTTATAATTGTTGTATTGCTGTATTGCTAATATGTTGTTGGTAATTGCCTTTTGTAAATTGCCTTTTTATGCTGTACACCGCCATGAGTCGCCCTAGAGGGCTGAGAATGGCGGTTAATAAATGCACCAAATAAATAAAATAATAAATAAGTTTGGTCCTGATCCTTCATTGTTTGAGTCCACAGTGCTCTCTGAATGTAGGTGAACTACAACTCCCAGACACAGGGTCAATGCCAACCAAACCTTTCTAGTGTTTTATGTTGGTCATGGGAATCCTGTGTGCAACGTTTGGTTCAATTCCATCACTAGTGGAGTTCAGAGTGCTCTTTGATTATAAGTAAACTATAAATCCCAGCAGCTACAACTCCCAAATGACAAAATCATTTTTTGAGTGACAGTCACTCCTTGGGTTACTAGGTGTCTTGTGGCCAAATTTGGCGGCAATTCATCCAGTGGTTTTTTAGTTATGTTAACCCCACAAATGAACATTACATTTTTATTTATATAGATTATGCAACAATTTTAATGAATGGATTCCTTTCCTCCTGCTTTGATCTTCTTGTTTCTCTTTTCAAACCATCTAGATCCTGTTACAAGGAAAAAACCCAGGAATTGCTTGGCAGTACACCTTCTCGAAGCTGGTCAACAAGAATAAAATATTCACAAAAAGACACAGCTACATGTGGGTGACAGTGCAGTCTGAGTGTTCAGTCACATGTGGTGGGGGTAAGTCATCTGCTGAAAAAACCTGAATTGTACATAAGATCCACTAGTGCAAGAAAAATCATGCCATGACATTTTAATACATTATTTCTTTTTCAACAATGTTTTCAGGACTATTCAGGTGGAAATATATTTCAATCATATTATTTAACCGCAGATTTTATTTCAAAAGATGCAGTACTTTCTTGCATTAGCAACATTTCATGCAAATGACTCTGTAAACAAAAGCTCAGCTAATAAAATAAAATGTGTTTTCAATGGGATTTTTGGAAGACACAAAATAAAGTGAGCTCGAATCATCTGGTTTAAGGATAGTTTATGGCTGAGTGGTTTCATAGAACTACAAAGTTGTGAGATGCCTTGGGGGTCATCCAGTCCAATGATAAATAAATATAAATATTAGGGGTGTGTAAAAATATAATTACTCCCTGTAAGTCGTATCAAATTCATTGAATTTGTGCGTACAAATCGATATTAGAAACATGGATATTAGGCAAAATTAGGACAGGCCTGTCCTAACCTGTAAGGACTTGTTTTTCAGTAATTGTGGCAAGTAATTTTAGCAATTTATTTCCTGTTCCAATAAGCTCTTCAAAAACCAAGTAGTTTTCAAAAACTATTCATAATTCTGGAGCTATGCTGCACAAAATTGACATATGGTAGTTTTGCAGAAAAATTGGCATTTTCTGTGTAAAAAAAGCTGTTTCTATACAAACAAAATACTCAATGTGATTTTGACAGTTAAGTTCCGAACTGAAACAATTCTAATCAGTTTTTATCATGTTTTTGCAACATTTTTGTACCATTTTCCAAAAGCTTTTCAATATTCCTTCTATCCCTAAAGGATAGTAGAGGAAACCAAAAAAATGTATGAGTCACATACAGCCGGAACAGTTGCCTAATATCTCACAGCGGCACCATTGCCAGTTAAGGTCTGCAGCAGAAAGGATTTCAGCATTATCAAATTAACCATTCTTCGGGGAATATCGCAAAGCCCAATTTCTGTCTCCCTTAATCATCTGTTTTTCAGAATGGCAATTTTCAGTGCCAACATTGCACACAAAAGTCTACGTGTCACATTCACAGTAAAAGAAAAACAGAAGAAAATGTGATTAGACACGAAGCTCTCAGTTTAATATTGATGAAAAGACACGGCACACTCATATATTATCAGTTTGTGACTAAAAAATTCGCTGAGGATGTAGAATATGTAAAGGGCTTAATCTAAACAAAAAACACTGATTACATGGATGAATGATGAACAATTCATGAAAGAGCTCATGGGAGCGGATTTAAAAACTGGAAAGATATCAAGGAATCGTGATAATGTGCTAACTTGGGAAAATATCTAAAAGCCATTAGAGTATTGCTTCTTCAAAATCAAATTATTTTTGTATGTATGGTGATGCCCATATTAAAATCATGGTTCTGGGACCAGGCCTTCAGACAATAGATGTATGCAGCTTTTAATGGGACAAGGACTGGAATAGCGACTCGACTGATGAGATTATTTTATAGTTTGAATAACTGTTTTGATATTTGGTAATATACTGTTTTTAATGGTGGCCCCCGGTGGCGCAGTGGGTTAAAGCACTGAGCTGCTGAGCTTGTTGATCGAAAAGTCGCAGGTTCGATTCTGGGGAGCGGCGTGAGCTTCCGCTGTTAGCCCTAGCTTCTGCCAACCTAGCAGTTCGAAAACATGCAAATGTGAGTAGATCAATAGGTACCGCTCCAGCGGGAAGGTAACGGCACTCCTTGCTGTCATGCCGGCCACATGACCTTGGAGGTGTCTACGGACAACGCTGGCTCTTCGGCTTAGAAATGGAGATGAGCACCACACCCCAGAGTCAGATATGACTGGACTTAATGTCAGGGGACTACCTTTACCTTTACCTTACTGTTTTTAATATGATTTATGTGCGGTTTTACAATTGTAATTATAAAGGATCGAATTTTTACCATTATCTATGTGTAAACCTCTTTGAGAAAAGCAGTATACAAATACTGTAAGTAAGTAAATAAATAAATAAACCGCTGAGCTGCTGAACTTGCTGACCAAAAGATTGGCAGTTCAACTCCAGAGAGCAGGGTGAGCTCCCACTGTTAGGCCCAGCTTCTGCCAACCTAGCAGTTCGAAAACATGCAAATGTGAGTAGATCAATAGATACTGCTTTGGCAGTGCTCCATGCAGTCATGCTGGCCACATGTCCTTGGAGGTGTCTATGGGCAATGTAGGCTCTTCGGCTTAGAAATAGAGATGAGTACCAACCCCCAGAGTCGGACACGACTGGCCTTATTGTCAGGGGAAAACCTTTACCTTTACCCAAATTTGGACATTGTCACACAAGGCATTTGACTCTCCTTAGCTATTAATGAAATAAATAATATTTATTTATTCATTTATTTATTCATTTATTTACAGCTTTTATATTCCGCCCTTCTCACCCTGCAGGGGACTCAGGGCGGATTACAGTGTACACATATATGGGAAACATTCAATGCCAATTTTTGACATACAAGCATATACAGACATACACAGAGGCTATTTAACTTTTTCTGGCCGCCAGGGAGCTGTCCCTTTCATCGTCCATCTGCGACGCTGATGAAGCACTTCCGCATTCCCCGCATGCTTCCCCGCTGGAATGCTTTGCTGGAGTCTTCTTTATGGCCTCATAAATCAGTTAATTTGGCCTCCCCACACTTTAAGGTGGTACCTTATTTTCCTACTTGACAGATGCAACTGTCTTTCGGGTTGCAAAGGTCGACAACAGGCTACACACAATTGGTTGGAAACCCACTCCAACCCGGACTGGCTTCGAACTCATGACCTTTTGGTCAGAGCGATCTTAATACAGCTGACACTCAGCCAGCTGCGGCACAATCCCGGTGCTCAGGGATTCTTCTAAACTCAATGCAAACCAACATTCAGCTTTTGGTAAAGCGGTCGTTTTTTCCTCTCCATATGTAACTTCATATGTCCCACTAGGTGCTCATTTTGTTTATGTACTTTTGCAAATATACACATTTTTGCATATTTTTTCCTTCATTGACTAAAACATATTGTTGTGCATTTCTCAATTGCACATATTTTTAGTTACTTATAATTTTTAAATTTTTGTAGAATTCTGTGTATTTTTATTTATCTAGAATGCACTGATGCACTGAAGTATATCTTTCCACAGATCCCCAGATTGGCAAATTCACAATTTTGGTGAGAATTTCAAAACCACCAAATTGCTTTCCCATTCTTCATAATGCCTTGCTCTTCTCTGCTCTTGTTACAAAACTATTCTTTCTTACATGTCTCCATTCAATCATTGTGCATCTTATTTCTCTTGGGTTTTTCCATAGGACACTTGATAGCGAAAGCTGTATGTTTACAAGATCATCAAACCCGAGTCAATTCCTCCTTCTGTGGCCCAAAGACCAAACCTTTAATGGAGACAAAAATATGTAATGGAAATCCTTGCCCAGCCTAGTAAGTGTTTTGCATATACATCTATTCCAGAAATCTACATTTATTTTTCAGTATTTAAAGTTTGATGTCACCTATCCAGGGTTGGGTTTGAAGCTTAAAGTGGCTGCAACAGAGTAAAAAAAGGATCAGCTTAAGTAGTTGGCTTGACTTCTAGACTGTTCAAAGGAAACTTTATCAGATTGTACAGTAAATATTTTATGTGTGTTTTGAAGGGAATAAGCTGAGGATCAATCTTGACAAGACAGAGGTCCTCCAGGTCAATTGTAGGCCGGATCAAGGTATAGGATGGCAACCTGTGCTTGATGAGGTTGCACTCCCCCTGAAGTCACAGGTCCGCAGCTTGGGTGTCCTCCTAGATTCAGTGCTAACGCTTGAAGCTCAGGTGTCGGTGATGGCTGGGAGGGCCTTCGCACAATTGAAGCTTGTGTGCCAGCTGCGACCGTACCTCATGAAGTCGGATTTGGCCATGGTGGTCCACGCTTTAGTTACCTCTAGATTGGACTATTGCAATGCACTCTACGTGGGGCTGCCCTTGAAGATGGCCCTGAAATTCCAACTGGTCCAACAAGCGGAACCAGACTACTAACTGGTGCAAGATACAGGGAGCGGTCAACCCCCCTGTTTTAGGAGCTTCACTGGCTGCCATTTATTTTCCGGGCCCAATTCAAGCTGCATGTTTTGACCTACAAAGCCCTAAACGGTTTGGGACCCGCCTACCTGCGCGACCGCATTTCTGTTTACGAACCCACATGACCTCTTCGATCTTCCAGAGAGGCCTGTGCCATTACACCCAGACGCTTTATAAAACAAACTATGATGTGCTGTCCCTATGTCTGGGCGAACCGCTGGGGCTTTCTGGAGAAAATTGAGATTTATTTATTTATTTATTTACATCACTTATATCCCGCCCATATCATCCCGCAGGTGACTCAACAATGGAGTCCACTGCGAAGTCTAAACATCAAAGGGGATATTTATTTCAATAGTTGTTCTCAATAGTCAATACAATTGTTCTTTCAATAGTCAATTAAACCTATCTCACTATACTTAACTCAATACTTTTCCATTCAATGGTTCTCAATTAAACTTATCTCAGTACTCAATTGTTGTTAATTTAGCTTACCTAACTATACTATCTCAATTGTACTTATCTTAATTCTCAATAGTTTTTGCGGTGGTTTTTTCTGGGCTGCCCTATTTGGCCCTCAGCACATCCAAAAGGCTTCTTTGGAACTGAACAGGGTAGGGAGATTCTAAGAAGGAAAACTCTCCCCAGGAAGAAGGGCGGGCTCTAAGAGCTGCTCCCTAGGCCAATCACTGCAAAGAGTTTGCAGGCTGGTTCCCCTTTTTCCCCGCCTTTGGCTGCAACTCCAGGACATGCAAAGCTGCAGCAGCTTCTAAAAGAAAGGCAAAGGCAGCCAAATCAAGCAACCAAAAAAGGCAATAAACCCAGTCTCCTGGGAGACGGAACAAGGCCCTTCTCTCGCTCCCACCTTCATTGCAAGCACGATTTGTGGGGAAGAGAGAGAGGGCCTTTTCTGTGGTGGCCCCTCGGCTCTGGAATTTGCTCCCCAGAAATATTAGGCAAGCCCCCCCCCCCCCGGAAATCTTTTCACTGCTCCAATGTGCCTTCAATGACTAAATGTATGATAATCTCTGACCAAACTCTGCATAAAATGTCCTCAGAAGCACTTTATTCTCTGGTTTGTGCAATGATTTCCTACCTTATCCCCCGGATCCCCTTCCTGATATTTTACACTGCCCTATCTCCCAAATTTTAATCTTTGAACTGGCCCTGCCCACTGTGATCTTTTTAGTGGCTTGATGTTTTGAATTTATATTGTTGTTCTGCATATTTACATTGGTTTGTATTTTATGGTTTTTTTTATGATTATTGTGTTTTCTGTATTGATTGCTGGTAGGAGACAAAGCCTATCCCACACTTGGACCAAGTGGGTCACCAAATGATGGCATTTGCCCTCTCAGGTTTTTTTTGTGTGTGGAATTATCAGTCAAGGTTTCATCAGCCTTAAATGACTCAAATAGACATATTCTATGTCATATATATATATTTGGAGTTGGGTGCCATCTCTACTGAGATGACGCTCAACTCTACTAGTCTTTTCCACCAAATGCCAAGGAAGCTCCTGGCTGTTTTGATGGGCTGGATGAGAGCAAACAAGCTGAAGCTTAACTCTGACAAGACAAAGGTCCTCCAGGTCAGTCACTCAATGGATCATAGGTTGGCAACCTATGCTTGATGGGGTTACACTCCCTCTAAAGACACAGGTCTGCAGTCTGGGGGTCCTCCTGGACTCAGCGCTGACACTTTATACTCAGGTGTCGACAGTGGCCAGGAGGGCCTCTGCGCAATGGAGACTTGTGCACCAGCTGTGACCGTACCTTGAAAAGTCTTGACTTGACTATGGTAGTCCACGCCTTCGTTACCTCCAGGTTGGATTACTGCAATGCACTCTATGTTGGGCTTCCCCTGAAGGTGGTCCGAAAACTGCAGCTGGTGCAAAGATCAGTGGCCAAGTTGATAACTGGAGCAAACTACAGGGAGTGGTGAACTCCTCTGTTCAAACAGCTCCATTGGCTACTGATAAGTTTCGGGTCCCAATTCAAGGTGCAGGTTATCCCTATAAAGCCCTACATGGTTAGGGACCGGCTTGTCTTCGTGACCGCATCATCCCCTATGAACCTACAAGATCTCTAAGATCTTCTGGGTAGGCCCTTCTCCCCCCCCCCCCCCCCCCCCCCCCCCCCCCGTCACAAACACAGTTGGTGAGGATGAGAGTGAGGGCCTTCTCGGTTTGTAGCCTCCCAGTTCTGGAAATCTTTCCACAGAGAGATTAGACTCGCCTACCCTGTCCATCTTCTGAAAAGAACTAAAGACGTGGCTGTTCCACTGTGCCTTCAATTAGATAACTTTCCAAATAATTCTGGCTCCCCATTTGATCCATAACTAGATCTTACACATTACCACTGTTCCCTTTTAGAGACGTAGTGCTCTCCTTACATTACCCCCCAGGCCCAAATTTTGTCATCTGCCTTTAGAACCCTATCCTTTGACAATTGATTTGCACCAGTCACCCACCTGAACTCAGAACTGTGCACTACTCAGATCATTGAAGGTTGTTAGATGTTTGGTATGTATTATATTCTGTTTATATTGTTGAAATATTTTTATGAATTTTGTTGTTATATTTTAACTATATTGTCTCCATGTAAGCTGCCCTGAGTCCCTTCGGGGAGATGGAGGCGGGGTACAAAAATAAAGTTATTATTATATTATAAGGAGCCCCCGGTGGCGCAGTGGCTTAAACCCCTGTGCCGGCAGGTCTGAAGACCAACAGGTTGCAGGCTCGAATCCGGGGAGAGCGTGGATGAGCTCCCTCTATCAGCTCTAGCTCCTCATGCGGGGACATGAGAGAAGCCTCCACAAGGATGGTAGAACATCTGAGTGTCCTCTAGGCAATGTCCTTGCACACTGCCAATTCCCTCACACCAGAAGCGACGTGCAGTTTCTCAAGTGGCTCCTGACATGACAAAAAATAATCTATATAAATAAAAAAGTAATGTTCATTTGTGGGATTAACATAACTCAAAAACCACTGGACGAATTGACACCAAATTTGGACACAAGACACCTAACAACTCAATGTATGTTCTTTACTAAAAAAAATTGATTTTGTCATTTAGGAGTTGTAGTTGCTGGGATGTATAGTTAACCTACAATCAAAGAACATTCTGAAGTCCACCAATGATGGAAATGTACCAAACTTGGCACACAGTTCTCCCATGACCAACAGAAAATACTGGAAGGGTTTGGTGGGCATTGACCTTGAGTTTTGGAGTCGTAGATCACCTATATCCAGAGATCACTGTGGACTCAAACAAGGATGGATCTGGACCAAACTCTACAAGAATATTCAATATTCCCAAATGTGAAGACAGGTGGAGTTTGGGGAAAATAGAATCTTGACATTTGGGAGTTGTAGTTGTTGGGGTTTATAGTTCACGTACAATCACAGAGCATTCTGAACCCCACCAACGATAGAATTGGGCCAAACCTCCCACACAGAACCCCCATGTGGGCCACAGCAACACATGGCAGAGGACAGCTAGTATATTATATATTTAAAAATATTTCACCAACAGGATGCAGATATGCAGATATGTGCTTATTTATATTCAGCGACATCTAGAGAACTAGGCATTTAAACCCACATATGGACAAAGAGAGAAGAAAGAGAGGCAGATACTGCATAAAATCTAAAAGGAAATAATGGAAGAACCACAAGAAAGCAGAGATAAGATTTAACTGGGGTAAGATGCCCTGTGACAGTTGCAGCAATTTCATTGCTTTGCCTTAAGCTTACACCATTGTCTGCAAACTAATTTGAAGTAATATCCCTAGCCAAATAATCTATTTTCATGTGATTAATCTTCTGCCAGACATTTATTTCACTATCCATGGTATCTGGACCTTGCAGACAGAAAATCCTTCTATTACATTTCCTGCTGCTTTTTCCATGTTGTTTATATTTATCTTTTAATTGTGGCTGGCAACTTCTTAAACATAGCATTTATTTTAATTGATGCAAAAGCCACACAAGTAGTGAATGTTGCATGCCTCTGCCTTCATTGTATACAGCATGTGCACTTTGAAGCTGTGTGGGTAGATCTGAAATGTGCCAGGTGCAGATATACAAGCTGAAACCCTCTCTGAATTGTACTAGCTGGGGGCTCTCTTCGTTCTGGATATTAAGCCAAACCCGTATCCCAAATCTGTCCCTTAAACAGGTTTAAGACCTTGGACAGTTCATTTAAAATTCAGACTGAGAACTAGAGCACTCACCAGTTTCAAAGCAGTGGTTCCCAACCTTTCTAATGGCACAGCCCCTTAATACAGTTCCTCCTGTTGTGGTGACCCCCAACCATAAAATTATTTTTTGTTGCTACTTCATTGTAATGTAAATATATTATATGCAGGA